GCCCTATACTTGAATCAACTGTATCCGGGTATCGTCCTTATATAGAGTTTTCCCGCAAAATTTAACTTATTTACGATGTCGTATCATTTTGTGACGATGTTTACATCAACTGCCTTATACTTGAATCAACTGTATCCGTGTATCGTCCTTATATAGATTTTCCCCGCAAAATGTAACCTACCTTACAAGACTTTTTTATAACGTACGAAATGCGACGGTTTTCCCGAAATTTCGCCATATTTTCGGACCGCCAAAATTTCGGTCGTCGTAATAGAATCCGTCGCATTATTTTTAGCTTATTCCAATAATTGTGGCTTCATCAATTCATTTTGTTCTTGAAAAGTTAGTGATATGATGGGACAAATAAACACAATATTCCATGATGAATTTGATGTCAAGTAATACGTTTTAAATTTACAATAAATTACATTTATGTGCTAACATAAACGTCTTATAAGAGACTAAGTCAAGATAAACAATTTAATACCAAACTCAATAAGTGAAACTGAAAGAGTCGAGCCGGACCCCTTAGAGGAAGATGAAGAAATCGATTTATAAGTTTCATTTTGTTTCAACATGATTTTACCGATTTTTAGAAAATTTTGAATTTCCTTTGTGTCAGAAAACAAAATGATGAAAAATTCCCTTATTTTCTGTGACGTCCGAAATGTGACGGTTTTTGTTCAATTTCGCCATATTTTCGGACCGCCAAAATTTCGGTCGTCGCAAATTGGTCCGCCACAAAAATGTCTTGTAAGGTATTTACGATGTCGTATCATTTTGTGACGATGTTTACATCAACTGCCCTATACTTGAATCAACTGTATCCGTGTATCGTCCTTATATAGAGTTTTCCCGCCTTCCACACCAAAATCAGATATAAATGATTTCGGAAATTCACCCAGAATTTCAAATTCCATATAATGTGACAGAATTTACATCATTTCCCAATAACCAAGTGCATGTATTAGCTAACTTTTCAAAACAACATATTTTAGGGCTATGATTGGCAGAAGAACCATCAAATAATGAGTTGAAAGGGTTTTGAGGACACCTCACAATAGAAAAGAGGTCTCGTATTCTGAGTGTGACAAAGTTTACGAAATATTGCCTTAAAGCCGTTCGATCCGTGCCCTTTAACCAAAGTTGTATCATAATTGTTAGATTGACCTAATCTACTATATTTCAGACCAAGGAATGATAATTGGGCAGCTATGGTAAACAATGTCACAAAAATGTGACATTTTTTACATTATAGTGCCTAAAAGCAATACATTTTATTTCTGAGCAGTGCATATGGGAGTATGGGTCACGTGGCTAATGTTCAGAACTTATGAACACGCTAGATTAATAGATGCTAAAATTAAGCCACTATCGTCGAAAACGCTATTTTAGAAATTTACCAATATCCTCAAACTTCAATGAACGTGTCCATATATGTAATGTGGCCCGAGGAGTCTTAATCCTCCTTGCGTCCTAAGGAGTAAGGAGTAAGGGGGTGTTTCTCTAGTATCTAATGAGCCCAATTATCCACGTTTTTCATTTATAGTGCTATCTTTAAATGTAACATTTTTGAATTAAGACGTTTTCATCGCTATCCCGCTGTCACTACCATGCTGTGCCACAGCCGCGCTGTGTCACAGCCGCGCTGTGTCACTGCTGTGTCACTGCTGTGTCACTGCTGTGTCACTACTGGCTGCTGTGGAACAACACTCAACAGTGACAGGAATGTCAATCAGTGCCGGAGCGATGACAGCCAGATAGTAAGCGTATAAGTTAGACAAAGTATATATTCAGATCCTAAGATATCTGTGAAACTAAAAAACGGGACAAAAATACCACTTGTAAACTCAAGACAGTCGTCAATGTTGATACTTTTGTTCGCAGTTTTTAAATATTCATATGAGGGCATTTTCAGATCACTATTAATAATAATATTAACATTACCAAAATCACTATTTAATATGAACCAAATCCATTTCAAAATCATTGAAAAAGTTCATTGAACAAAACTCCAGATTCAATGAACAACAAGATGAAGGAGTACCCTGCTATCACTGCAATAATCCGGTTCATAGTACATACTGACCTGGCTCGATGGGGTATTATTATGGCAAAACTCCTGGTCACACTCATGAATTTATAGGGTCAGGGGTCAGGGCCGATAGAGAATCGACGACTCTCAGGGTCAGGGTGGCCGGGTGATCACGAGTGCCGAGGACAGTTTACTAGCTGTCAGAAACACTGATTCTGTGAGTTACATTGTTTGGATAGCGCCGAATATCTTTTAATAATCATGTTAAGTGTTAAGTATATTATATGCTGTAAGTTATGCGGTCTAGTTAGTAGTAGTTAGGTTATATTTTAGGAACCCCCAGTTTTGACTCGGCAGGTGTCAGCATCTATGACTCGCTGTGTTCAACCTATTGGCCTATCAATAAGTTATTTTCTTACAGAATACTTTCACTTGGACTCAGTAATTGGGCAAATATATCAATGCCCGATTTTCGAAGTTTCTCATCCATATTTCATCCGTGAATTTAACATCTTCAATTAGGCTAATTATATGCACGATTAGCACTTATCGCGATCTTTGTAAACGTGGGGAAACGTGCAGATGATTATTATTCTTCCACAAAATTCTTAACTCTTCAACTAAAGTTAATAAATCCCTAACCAAATCATTACAAAAGTTCGCGTATCTTCTTATGTAACCTTGGTCCCCAAGAGAGGAACTCTGTCCTATACCGGGGCATCCTCAATAAGTACAGACACGGGTTGAGGGCAGCGTTCAGAACGTAGGGTAACACCAAGTAAAGGAGATGAGCGGAATTCTGATTAACTGCCGCACTATCAACCATGATCTTAACTGATGTAATATGTTTAGACAACACGTAGATGAACAGGTACACAAAAAGAGGAATATTACAGATCAGGAACAATGATGTGAACAAGGTGATGGTGACGGACACTTGGCGGGAGATCTTCTTAACATCAACTGTGGAGGATATTGACAACCTCGTCATTGGCTTTGAACTCTTCCTTTCCTCTTTTGTTGACGTCTTAACATCAGATTTTGAGGAAATTGAAAACCTCGTCATTGGTGTTGAACTCCTCCTTTCCTCTTTAGTTGACGTCTTAACATCAGATATGGAGAAAATTGGCAACCTCGATTTTGACATTGAAATCCTCTTTTCCTCTTTTGTTGGCGTCTTGACTTCAGTGCATTCTTGTGCGGCTGCGTTCCTTGCTAGGGTGATGGTGCTAGCAAGGAAACTGACGAACACTACAACTGACGGAATGAACACCTCTATCTCCCACGCTATTTCGAACATAACTGCAGACCAGTTTTCTGTTATCTTGTAGGAACAATAAGAACGTAGCTTGGGGTAGTAAATAGCTTTCATCCACCCACTCGCAAACAAAACTCCATCGATGAACAACAAGATGAAGGAGTACCCTGCTATCACTGCAATAATCCGGTTCATAGTACATACTGACCTAGCTCGATGGGGTATTATTATGGCAAAACTCCTGGTCACACTCATGACTGCCACTAAAAACATGGATACGCGGAGCAGGAAGAAAACGGCGATAGTAAGACTTCCGCATACGAAGGAGTCTGCATACAGCATAGGATCGCGGTTATTTAGCAAGGAAACTATGATAGGAATTGTTGTGATGGTGCATGTCCCCATATCCACAGAAATAACGATGATATAAAGTTTATCTGGGATGGTTTTACGTTCCTTTGACAGGAAGTAAGCGAGTGCAGAGATATTTCCAGCAAGTCCCACTATGGTGCATAGTATCAGCACGGTAGCTATCAGATTGTCTAGGGAAGAGTTGAAATCTTCCGATCCTTCTCCCTGCGTAGCGTTCATTGTTGAGTTGAAATCTCCCGATCCCTCAACTTGCATCGCAAACAGTTTTTCAGAATTACAAACAGTTATCAGATATCAACACGTAACAAGCAAACGTTTATGCAAATAGAACGAATAAAATACAAGTTAAGCGGTATATCAAGCTCAATTGTATGTTGAAGTTTAAGTCAAGAACAAGGATGCAACAGCGTTAGGTCAGTTAAAGAGTAAAAGAGAAAACCTATCCACATATACATGCACGCAAAAAACACAGAACACACGAACAGCTAAGTCGGTTATCATTGAAGTGAGTTGCAAATTAATGGATTATTGTGGGAGAGGGAGAGTGAGAGAATCCACATTCCACACACGTAGTAAACTTTAATCAAAAGATAATTTAACTGAGTATATAATATGAATACATGCATATACTACTAAGTAGTATAGGTTGCTTAATGCGAATTAAATGAAGGATGCTTTTTCACCATTATTTATGACACCCTATTTTGACTCGGTATAGTTGAGCGCAAAGCTGGATCCATGACCAAAATGTGCTAGTAGTATAGCATTATTATCCAGATTACTAGGTTACTCTGTTATTAGCCAAAATGATACAGAGAATGATGCAGAAGGAATATGTGTAATGTAGCCCGAGTGGTCTTAATCCTCCTTGCGTCCTAAGGAGTAAGGGGGTGTTTCTCTAGTATCTAATATGCCCAATTATCCAAGTTTTTCATTTAAAGTGTTATCTTTTAATGTAAATTTTTTGAATTGAGACGTTTTCATCACTATCCCGCTGTCGCTGCCATGATAATTGATATGCCACCGCCGCGCTGTGTCAATGCTGTGTCGCTGCTGTGGAACAACAGTGACCGGTATAGAATTGCGCGCCCACAGGAATGCCAATCAGTGCAAGTGCCAGAGCGGCAGAGCGGTGACATATAGATAGTTAGCGAATAAGTTAGACAAAGTATATATTCAGATCCTAAGATATCTGTGAAACTAAAAAACGGGAAAAAAATACCACTAATAAACTCAAGACAGTCATCAATGTTGATACTTTTGTTCGCAGTTTTTAAATATTCATTATCATATGAGGACATTTTCAGATCACTATTAATAATAATATTAACATAACAAAAATTACCATTTAATATGAACCAAATCCATTTCAAAATCAATGAAAAAGTTCGCACAACCCCTGCTGTAACCTGCAGCCCCAACTTATAAACTCCGTCCTATACCGGGGCATCCTAAGTAAGTACAGACACGGGTTGAGGGCAGCGTTCAGGACGTAGGGTAACACCAAGCAAAGGAGATGAGCGAACTTCTGATTAACTGCCGCACTATCAACCATGATCTTAACTGCTGTAACATACTTAGACAACATGTAGATGAACTGATAGACAAAGAGAGGAATATTGCAGATCAGGAACAGTGATGTGAACAGGGTAATGGTGACGGACACTTGGCGGGAGATCTTCTTGCTATCAGCCGTGCACGACATTGCTCTCTTCATTTCTCGTGACCTCTTTGTTGGTTTTGCGACTTGTTTCTTTTCAGTACATTCTTGTGTGGCTGCATTCCTTGCTAGGGTGATGGTGCCAGCAAGGAAACTGACGAACACTATAACTGACGGAATGAATACCTCTATCTCAAACGCGATCTCGAACATAACCGCAGCCCAGTGTGGCGCTAGTTCTGTCAGCTTGTAGGAACAGTAGGAACGGAGGGTCCGGTAGTAAATAGCTTTCATCCAACCACTCGCAAACAAAACTCCATCAATGAACAACAAGATGAAGGAGTACCCTGCTATCACTGCAATAATCCGGTTCATAGTACATACTGACCTGGCTCGATGGGGTATTATTATGGCAAAACTCCTGGTCACACTCATGACTGCCACTAAAAACATGGATACGCGGAGCAGGAAGAAAACGGCGATAGTAAGACTTCCGCATACGAAGGAGTCTGCATACAGCATAGGATCACGGTTGTTTAGCAAAGAAACTATGGTGGGAATTTGGAAGACGCATGTCCCTATATCCACAGATACAACAACTATGTAAAGTTTGTCCGCTACAGATTTACGACCTGCTGACCAGAAGTAAAGGAGTGCAGAGATATTTCCAGCAAGTCCCACTATGAAGCATAATATCAGCACGGTAGCTATCAGAATGTTTATTGTTGAGTTAAAATCTTCTGATCCCTGCGTAGGATCTATTGTTGAGTCGAAATCTTCCGATCCCTCGCCTTGCATCGCAAATGCTTATCGTTTTTGCTCTACAAACAAAACTAATCAACACATATGAAGTAAACGTTTGCGCAAATAACACGAGATAAAACGAATGTACAAGCGAAATATTAAGCACAATTTGTTGACGTCTAAGCGAGAACAAGGTCAGGAAGAGCGTATAGTGAGTCTGTCAGAGAATAAGAGAAAACCTACACTCACACGCGTGCAGCTAAATCAATACATGTGCAGTTAAATATGTGAATTAGGCTCTGATTGGATGAAATTGTAGGGGTTGCAAATTAAGGACAATTTATCACATTTTTGTCGCGTCGTGTATTTGCAAATTATGGACAGTTTATCCTATTTTTTGTCGGGTGTATATATGGATGCTGTATTTATAAAACGTGGTGACATTTGCAGTATCGAGTAATTAAATACACAAATAACGTAAATTCCGTTCAAAAATATCATCTTATGTTTCAAATTATTTTACAAGTAATTAGTATTTTAAATATTCGAAGAACGAAAACAATTAACAAGCTTACACCCTTAAAATTACAACCGAACATGTAAACGCTACATAATATTTAATGCTGTGCCACTTACACTTACAGTTACACCATAGACACATAAGTTAAGTTATCATCGAATCTGAGGTGTGATCGCAAGGGAATTATTACTGTACAGTAAGCATGTAGGCTATCCGGAATATTCTAGTACATATATTCTAGCATTATATAACTTAAGTCACTGAAAACTCTGTGTAGCGTGCACTGTAGTGGCTTTTAGTGTTCTACAAGGACTCATGGTGTAATAATGTTGTGATCCTTTCATTAATTCAAACTAATAACCTATCAAAAGTAATTCAAAACTGAAGCCAAAATAAATGAAAGCCTTTTATTGCAATTCTATTAAAATAGTAGAACTAAAGAGTCTTAAAGAATAAAATAGAAGATAAATTTACTTAATATAGTTAAAAACGCATTTCAAGTTATGAAACTCTACTCATGGTTTCAGTCACACTTTCGAGTTAAAAACTCAACTCATGTCTTTGTTTCTGTCTATGACAGAAACAACCCTTATTCAGTTATTAGTACAGACAAATCCGTCTGAAAAGGGATTTGCCGACACAAGAATGCTCTTTACTAAAACCAGCTCCGATGATAATTTATAAACATGCACAGCTACAAGTTAACGTAAAAAGGTTACATAGTTAAAACTTTGTAAGTGGGTAATCACCCCTGGACACAAGCAGGTATTCACTCAATCAGGATCAGGTATTCAGGATCAGGTATTCAGGATCAATTATTCGGGATCAGCTGTATTCAGGATCAGGTATTCAGGAGCAGGTATTCAGGATCACGTATTCAGGATCAGGTATTCAGGAGCAGGTATTCATGATCAGGTATTCAGGAGCAGGTATTCAGGATCAAGTATTCAGGATCAGGTATTCAGGAGCAGGTATTCAGGATCAGATATTCAAGATCAGTTATTCCACTGTTGTAGACTTGTAGGTGTGGTCGACACGATAATCACCGTAATATGTTCCACTGTGCATCTTGTAGAAAATTCGGTTTCTATTAATACCACATGATCTGTTCATGACGTGAGCCCAAAATATGTCGACGTGGCATACAGCTCCCGGCAAACTTTGGAAAACTTGAAGGTTTTTAGCGATACTAATTCGGTATCTTGAAATACAGCCTTCAAAGAGAGTAAAAAGAAGTTCGATAATGGACTCGATAGAATACCTTTCTAATTGAGTGAGAAATGTGGGTATCTTAAACAATAATCTCAGAATGTGTGTCTGTGTGCGTGTAATTTGTGGGTATTAATTAATAATTTCACCCTATCAAGTAAACGCTGACTTGTCCTAGTGTTCCTAGTTTATAAAGAAAATAACTGTGAAATAGTTGCTGTCTGATCGAGTAGGGACAAGTAAAAGGACAGTCTGTCATAGTCCTACAAATGAGCCACAATAATTCACATAATAATGTTTTATTTTAGCACTAATATTTTACGTTTAGTACTGCATTTATCACATTCCCGACCAGTTTTAATATAGTGGCCTAATATTGCAGTCCGGTAATCTTTCGGTGGACACTGAAGGCACGGTTACAAATAGTTCATTGAATTGTATCGCAGTTTAGAGATGTGTGGGTAATACTAATTCTAACAATACCTGGAATTAAAGCTCGTTTTGTGTCGAAGAATTCTCCGTGTGTACACTAACAGAATCTTTTGTAAATAGTATGAATATTTTTTCTTTATTGAGTGGCAACTTCAAGATAGTCACTGACTGTCCTACACGACAATGTATCTTTGTAACTCTTCATTACTTTATTGGTTCAAAATGACTTCTGACATCGAACGGTAAAACTCGCTGCAATCAAATTACACGGAACATAAGAAGAGGGCTCAATAACTTGTTGAGTTATCAGAGGTTCATGTGAAACTCACTATAACGAGTTATTCATTGCAGGAAGAATCACTGAGTTCTAGTTCTGGGGAGGAAAGTGAAAGTGAAAGTGAAAGAGAACAGACTAGCCCAGAGTTAGAGCCGAAACAGAGAGTAGATTTCAATCATATCCTCAACTCTCTGCAACCTCAATATGTAAGATTTAACTTGTTCCATTTTTCAGATTGAACTTATTTTCTTGAAATCCATGTAATTGTTTTGATTAAAACTTTGTTTTATTTGAGAGGAAATTTGTTCAATAGTTTACATGATGCAGGATGCTGTTCATAAAACTGTTTATAAAACTGTTTATAGAACTTAGTTCTCAGAACGTTGCTAAAACAATTGTTTAATAAAACGAGTACTTCTCCTCCTTGTTTATTAAAACTTTTCCTCTCTGTAGGGATCTGAACCAGTGTTTGTATTTGAAAGAAGAGACAGCTGCAAAACTCCTCAGACCCCAATACCCAGTGACCCCAAACAGCTTGTTATACACCTACAGATGCAGGAGAAACGCAAAAACATCGAGAAAATCAGGTAATTTTTAACATTTTGCTATCTATTGATGTGTAAACTTTTTGGAAAGTTGCCATAAATCAACCAAATTATCAGGATCAAGTGAGAAGCCTATTGATAGCACCTCTTATTTCAAAAGTTGCTCCTTCATAAATTTGTTATCATTTCTTAAAATCCCAACATTCTTTTTGAATCACCCTGTATATAAATTTTTAATTTTCATTCTCCAGATCCTCTCTCCAAACGCATTAAAATAGTATTTTACAACAAGGACAAAGGAGTTACATAAATTACAAATTTACATCTCAACATTATCAGCTCACCACAAGTTTAACCACCAAAAATAAGAAAACTCATTTAATAACAATTTCAAAATCTGTCAATAGTTTAAAATGTTCTCAGAAAGATAGGGTTGATATAAACACACTATCATGATCAACAATTTACGAATTCCTAAAGCTGTGACGTAAGAAATATTCTAATGTCTCCATGATTAGTGTTACATAGCGTTTCATTATTTCTTTTGTTATCTAGCAAAGTGGCTATGTATCTTAACTTCAGATATTAAATACATGTATGTAAATATATTAATGTAGATCATTTTTAAAGATACCCACCATGGGCAATATCCGATTTTTGCCATTTCTTGTAATGTATGGACTGTTTTAATTTTGGGTATGAAGCGGACCTCCAACAGCAGACCATAATTTTAAAATTAGTTCCCTGCAATCAAATGTTAATCAGACCCTTGAAACCCCTTATCACATCAACAAGATGAAAAGAAAGGGTATTTATCCTGAAACTGCTGAATAAAGGAGGAACCCTTACTCCTCCCATCGCACTCTATCCTGAGTAGAGGCATCTGAACCAACTGTAGAGGTGACATTCCACTATCTAGCGCCTGATACAAGTTCAATATCTGACCCCTCATAACTGATGCTTGTTTATCAAACAGCGACTTATCAAACCCTCTGTCATGTTTAAACAGTTTGTACAGCTCTTCCACCATCTCCTTAACCAAGGTCAAGTCCTTCAGTTTGTGGAGGAGGAGTTCCTTTGTTTTCTCTGAGAAGGGTTGGCTAGCGTAAGGTAACCACGCCCAATAGTAGGGGTATGCCCTCCACTCATCAGGGTGTTTGAACGGGAATGCCAGTCCGTTATCTATTGCTGCCACGTAAATACACTCTTCCGGTGTGTCCGCTTTGTATTTATCGTATTTAATCAGCCAGTTATCATTCCCTCTGTCTGTGTTCCTGATGATGTAATCCAGACAAACAAGCTTCTCAAACAAGTGTTGGAAGTGTTCCCGAACTGGTTCTGGGGGAGGTTCATCCTGGAACCTCCTCACCCAGTGATCCGCATCCTTGTAACCGTTTACAAAGACTTGGAAGGAGCCTATCTTAGGGGGCAGACCTGCTTTCATCTTCTTACCTAACGTATCCGGGAACCGTTCTGTGGCGAACTTAACTGACTTAGCCTTAGCTTTGTCGATGGTGGTATAGTTAAAAGTCTCACTGGCTAGCGCGATCACCTTGGTGTTTGGCACTATGTTCAGTTCTAGTTTCCTGTCCACTAAGCTGGCTCCAGCCTCAGACATATAGCCCTGATTTGCAATGAGACACGACCGACCAAAACAACACGGGAAGCACATCTTCTGCATCCACTTAGTCCACTTGGGGTTGAGGTGGCCGTAGGGTTCCTCGTTCTTAGGTTTAAACACCCCAACAGTGAGATTATCTCTACTTCTCACAAAATAACTCCCACTGCTACCCTGGAATATCCTCTCCGGGAGTATCCCTTCCTCTATAGCCCTCTCTGCCTCCACTACAAGTTTGTAAAACTCAGGGTCATCAGTAGAGAGTGGTAAGTTAGCCTCCCCCTCGTCTGTAATCAGTCTGTGTTGCTCTGTGGCAGCCCCCGGTGTGACCCGCCCTGGTGTCCCAGCACTTGTCGGCGTAACCGGCGTGCTGACTTCTGAGTAAGAGGACTGACTCGCCCCTTTGGGCCGACTAGACGAAGATTCCGAGCTGATAACATAGGTTGTTTCTTTAATTTTACTAGAATTCCCGGACCCGGAGGGGGTTCTGTACCTCTTAGCAGAGTGTCCGTACACCTCGTAAAAGAAGTTAGCTTGCTCCTCAGTGGTGGTGTCCGCCTCGTAGGTAGTGTGTCCACACAGTATGAAGGAGCGCTGGTTGTGGGTCATATTACCCCGAGGGTACACCTGTTACTTTGTTACTCTCTGTAGGTAGAACTGGTGAGACAAGTACACAACTACAACCAAGTTACAAGATTCAACTGATAGAAGTACCTCAATACAAACTTAAAGTGAGAAACGAGGAATGGTTCTAAAGCAAACTGTATACAGTGTACACACAATATGTGTGCGACACATCTTATACAATTACACTGCTGAGTTTACATATACAAACTGTTGATCAGGCTATACTGCTGTGTTCATTTTTCTGTGAGGCATATCGAATAGCTGGTAATACACTACAAATGTTTGACAACTGATTCTACTTCAAATCTAATAGCTGGTAGTACACTACAAATGTTTGACAACAGATTCTACTTCAAATCTAATAGCTGGTAATACACTACAAATGTTTGACAACTGATTCTATTTCAAATCTAATAGCTGGTAATACACTACAAATGTTTGACAACTGATTCTATTTTAAATCTAATAGCTGGTAATACACTACAAATGTTTGACAACTGATTCTACTTCAAATCTAATAGCTGGTAATACACTACAAATGTTTGACAACTGATCCTACTTCAAATCTAATAGCTGGTAGTAGGTACACTACAAATGTTTGACAACTGATTCTACTTCAAATCGAATAGCTGGTAATACATTACAAATGTTTGACAACTGATTCTACTTCAAATCGAATAGCTGGTAATACACTACAAATGTTTGACAACTGATCCTACTTCATCATTAGAGGACAGACCAGGGTAATTCTTATCAGTACGGGGCTCGTAAGATAAGGTACACGTTGCCACTGCTTTTCTAATTGCATTTTACAGATAAGGATCACGGAAATGTTCAGGATAAAGAGACATTGGCCGTGACAATGTGAGATCTGGTGATCTGATTTCAGGTTATTTGCAGTTCAGGTTGTACCACTTCTTGTTCTACGAAGACCTTAGTACATATTGCAGAGTCAAATTACAGCTCAAAAAACAAACCAACTGTGACACTGTTGGTCAAGTTACAATAATTTAACCTTCGGGACACCAAGGCAAATTCCCCTGTAAACCACAATTAAGTCGATGCACTAAACTGAAGCACAGTAAAAGTGAGAGGGAAATCAAGGTTCAATCTTTACGTTAAATGGTATGTTCCCAGTTTAAATCTTAACAAGAACACTAGTCACCTCTAACAGATAGCAGCTGGCTAATATACCAGCCTATACCGTCGTTATATACACGTTACACAGCCCCTTCATTGTGTGTTTTAAGTTTAACTTTGTATGTGATAATTTAATTTTTCATCCACAAACATGTTATCTACATTGTATAGTGTGGAGACTGCAGAGTTAAAGTTGGGGGCCGGGGAGAGCCTCTACGATAAGGGTAATTCGCCTTTTCTTAGATTTTGTCAGTGATCGATGGTAGAATTAAAAATGGAAAATGGAAATATGTTATTCATCCCGGAACTCTTAAAAAGTGGTCGTGATGAATAAAGCCAAGTGTAGAGTCTAAAAGTGGGAGGGTATGAGGGGTCCAGCATCATTTCATATAGAAAATAATAAAAACATGTATGGGGGTATAATTGTAAAGCAATACATGTATATTTATATTTATATATATATATATTTATAAATAAAAAACCAGTTATTATCTAAAGTTCTTTAAAATCAGTGTTTTAATTTTCTAGAATCCCTTTGCGTTCTCTCATGCAGAACCATATGCAATCTCTTATGAAACGATTAGATACATTCAGTGAGATAACATCTGATACAGATGCTCTTCAATTATTTTGGGAGGAAAATGGGATCACGTTTAAAGACTTTGTCGCAGAAAAGCAGAGTTACAATTACACCCTCCCATCCGAACTACACCAATGTTCAGTAACCACCTCCTGTGGCTTCATGATTAACATCACTCTCAGACAACGTCCTCCAGGTCGGCGCAAATTCAACAGGAGAGGTCGATCAGTTGAGTCTATAATGTTTGGAGTAGAGCTGATAACGGAGCCCACCCTCTACCCAGCTAACCTGCACCTCCACCAGTAGAGCTGATAACGGAGCCCACCCTCTACCCAGCTAACCTGCACAGTGCACCTCCACCAGTAGAGCTGATAACGGAGCCCACCCTCTACCCAGCTAACCTGCACCTCCACCAGTAGAGCTGATAACGGAGCCCACCCTCTACCCAGCTAACCTGCACCTCCACCAGTAGAGCTGATAACGGAGCCCACCCTCTACCCAGCTAACCTGCACCTCCACCAGTAGAGCTGATAACGGAGCCCACCCTCTACCCAGCTAACCTGCACAGTGCACCTCCACCAGTAGAGCTGATAACGGAGCCCACCCTCTACCCAGCTAACCTGCACCTCCACCAGTAGAGCTGATAACGGAGCCCACCCTCTACCCAGCTAACCTGCACCTCCACCAGTAGAGCTGATAACGGAGCCCACCCTCTACCCAGCTAACCTGCACCTCCACCAGTAGAGCTGATAACGGAGCCCACCCTCTACCCAGCTAACCTGCACCTCCACCAGTAGAGCTGATAACGGAGCCCACCCTCTACCCAGCTAACCTGCACCTCCACCAGTAGAGCTGATAACGGAGCCCACCCTCTACCCAGCTAACCTGCACCTCCACCAGTAGAGCTGATAACGGAGCCCACCCTCTACCCAGCTAACCTGCACCTCCACCAGTAGAGCTGATAACGGAGCCCACCCTCTACCCAGCTAACCTGCGCCCCCACCAGGACCTGGTCACTCCGTCTACACGCGGTTCTGGAGAGAGAGGGTGTTGAGGGGCAGTGGGAGAGTGTGGTGTTAACATGGGACGAGGAGCAGCTTATTTGGGATGAGGAGGACGAGTTATTTTACACTTACAGAGAAGTTTAGGGGTGGGGAGAGGGGGACTTGGTGAGGATGGTGGACGTGGTGTATTGGGGGTCAAGTTATGGCGAGGAAACTGTTGAAAGGTAGTGATGGGAACTGTCATGACATTGAGTCGTGGACTACTGGGAAGATTTCTTAATTTGTGTTATTTTTTCCTTTTCAACCTTTTGAAAAAAGGCAATAGTGAAAGGTTACGAATGGACGTTTTTGCAGAAAAACGTGGATTTTGGGGATTGCAGTAGGTGGGTCAAATATATGTCGTGTTGCTTCCGTTCGTTACCATGTCAACTTGCCGCGCGCACGCGCGCGAGGATTGCTTGCGGAGATGTGGTGTATAGCTAGTCTGTGGTCAATGAATGCGCGGCGCACGAGCGTATTTTAATGTATACTAGTAATGTATAATATTTTGTAATAAGCCCAACTTGAACGTGGCACGCGTAGTGTATTGATGTTTCAATATTATTATTATAGCTGATTAGAGCTTATATTAATAGTTATAGTGAAATGGAAATCTAGCGTCCGCCAAGACGAAACAACGGGCGCAATTCTTGTTAGAACTTCAAAGATAAGATTAGCAGTTCCTTTTTATTGATGTTATAAGTTTGTTTACTTTAAGTTTTATCTCCTTTTTTAGTATTTGTAGAATATGTCCAATTTTAATAATTGTCGTACAATTAATGTCTTGCTTTTAATATTCTTGCTTATCTTAGTAATGGCTGTATGGTGATCAGCACTGAACTTCACTTTAATTTCAAAATAGATCATTCATTATTTTCTTTCTCGAACAATATGTGAGAATCTCAGGAAATAATCCACTTCCACAATATTAAACCCAATTCTCACCAATGTGACATTGTCCTGCCTAATCTATTGTCTTGACTCTTGTCTAATCTAGAATAGAGTCCTCACCCCTCTCTTCCATCCTAGATCAGGACTACAGAACAAGTGGGAAGAAGAGAGAGCCCAACTGAACAGGCACGTGTTTTACGAGGCCCTGAAAAAGACGCGCGATATCGGAGAACAAGCTAACAGTGAGGATATAAGGGCAGAGCTGGAGAGGAGTGACTCTCTGGAACAGTTGATTCCTCATCTGGGGTCCAGGACACAGAAGGATCCTTTCAATGCTAAACCAGGTACGTTGCAACCAGATACTCTTTCGTTAGAGGATGTAATACTAATATAATCCCTTTGTTGAATTGATGAGATTTATTGACAAATCAAGTTTGATGAAGATTCAAATCTAGTTGTCATAATAGTTGTCATAATATTTCACATGCAAATAATTTTTAAATTACAGTTTAATTAATAAAAAAAAGAAAGCTAGGATTAAGAATATGAAGCCAGATATTATCGACTATAAGTGCTACAGTTTTTATTAAAACGTGTGAAAATTAACTACAAAAGTCTCCTCAATCAGTTTTCATTTTTCTCACAATTTTCTGATAACAAAACTTAAAGCATTTCACTGAACTAAACAAAATCCCCAGAATAACAATAACAATAACTGTCAAGGCCAATCCAGCAATATCTAAATTATATATCTCAACTGACGACTGGTTCAAGATTATCCGGTTAACTAGAAAGTCGGCATTTCCGTTCTTGATCAGCAAATCAGTGTAAAACCTCAGTACTTCAGTTCCTGCTCCAGGGTCATTGCGGGCAATTTCAACAGCTCCTTTCATGTTATCAACAATGCTTTCTTTCTCGGATAACAGCTTGTCAATTATCTCCGTAACACTTTCCTCAGTTACAGTTTCCCAGGTTAGAAGGAACCCAAGTTTATTTCTTTGTACCAGTCTACCATTTAAATACTGGTCCCCAAACAGTGGAATACAAAACAGTGGCACGTTATAGTAGATGGCCTCCATCCTACCGTTGTTACCGCAGTGAGAGATGAAGAAATCCAACTTCCCACTCCCCAGCAGATCTTTCTGTGGTATCCAGGCTCGCTGTAGAAACTTATCAGCTGGGAGGTCGAACTTCACACTCAGATCCACCTTGCTTTTAATGATAACACACGCATCCATCTGGAGTAGTGTTCTAAGAATGGCTGGAGTACCGGAGAATACAGTTATGTCAGAAACATAGGACCCGAAAGAGAAAAATACAGTGTGTTTGTAAGGACATTTCGCAAGGAACTCTAAATAGTCCTCTGGAAGAGGGTTAAGAGAGCGATCTTCTAAATTGAAGAATCCAAGATAGAAAGTGTTGGGTGGCGAGAGAAAGGGAAACGAGAACGCAGGGTGGTCATTTACAAAAACAATATCGTGAGCTGCCATAAAAGTATCTTCGACATTTATTTCGGGAGGTTCATTCATGAAAATGGGCTGGATAAGGGCCATGCAAGCTTTGAATAAGCGAACAATATTGGTCAGAGTGCGCCATCTTTCCCAGAAAGTAGGAGATGAATCTGTCACATCATTTGTCATAGATGGCACGCTGTTGATTAAACCTGGGAGACCATACCTATCATTCATGTCTCTAGCCCCAGCATGGCAGACTATTCCCATTCTAGGGATACGGATATCTCGGTGGAGTAACTGGGACATAGTTACCAAAGATACCACATCTTCCATCACAATCAGCTCAAAGTTTCCATGGTCCAGCAGCCCGGAAAACTGCTCCCCTTTGAAGTACTTAACCGCCGAAACGTGGTAATCGTCTACCCAAGGCTTCACTGCATCGACAGTCACTTCAGCCTCCACAAACTCTACCGCCATATCTACTGATGGTTTGTGCATGAAGTGCGCAAAAACTTCTCCAAACTGTTTCATAGAGGCATCAGCTTCAGTGTCATCTACCATCGGTATCAAATGGTAAGGTTTTACATCCATGCCGACTCTGTTATCACTAAACATAGTGAGGACAGTAACGTTGTGTCCAAACCCTGCTATCTTCTCAGCTATGTTAGTTGAGACGTAGAAATGAGAACCTCGCATTCCAGCTATTACTAGGACGTTAGCTGAGTGGCATGTGGAGAGGAAAAGGAGAAGGAGGAGAGGAACCATGATCTCCCTCATGAGTATCGCCAACCTACTGAGCACAAATAATAATTATGATGATTTAACATATTTAATTTGCCATTTGTAGTCTCGAACAGCTATACAAGCAGAAATACAATAATTGATGATATCTTTTACAAATTACATGCCGAAAGTATAAAAAATTCAATACTAGATTATAAGCTGGCAACAAATTGTATACAAGCTTCTGATGCATAATAAGTCAAAATGTGAAACGGGAATAAACCTAACAAAAAAAAACATTTTAGGCGCTTTGATCAGTATATTTCAATCCAAATTGATGTTATGGGTTTTCAGAAACGACTGATAGTAGGACTATTATGTTTCATTTAATTAGATCAGTATGTGACTAAGTTTTAAGTCACCTTTGGAACGTATTTTTGGTTAAACTGAATGCTTAGGAAGGCAGTGTGACAATTACGGTACAAACATTCAAAACCAGTGGCAAGAACGTATAGGTATCTAATAATAAACGAAGCAAACAAAGTTTAAACCTAAAGGAAAATTATTGTTGGTCATCGATAAAACTGACAGGTAACCAGGAAAATAGTGTAATACAAAAAACCGGCACAAAAGAGTAGCATGTTTGCGGTGATGTACAATCTTATGAAATATTTATACAGCACTATAAATTATTATATATTATCATATATTTTTCTATAGGCTGATGATATCACCTAATAGGAACAACATTGTAACAGTGGAGTTCCCACCTACGAGTGGTCGCTGAGAGGACTTATAGCTCACCCGCTCACCCGCAAATTTTATTTTTGTATTTCATAGCTCATGTTCTGACAAATGGATGATCTGAGTCAGAATATTTTGTTTCCTGAGTCCATTTTCTATTTTTAAACCTATAGTACTTACTGGGAAATGTTTATTGCTGCGTAAGACTAAGTATATCTTGAAATTACAGCACCCTGTCTATGGTACCAAGATGGTTATTATAGATCTTCTCCGTTTCAATTCTTAATTTTAAATCATTTTTTACAACAACAAAAAACGAAAGCTAGGATTAAGAATCTGAAACCAAATATTGTAGGCCATAACTGCTAAAGTTTTTATTAAAACGTGTGAAAATGAACTACAAAAGTATCCTCAATCAGTTTTCATTTTTCTCAAAATCTTCTGGTAACAAAACTTAAAGCATTTCACTGAACTAAACAAGATCCCCAGAATAATGATAACAATAACTGTCAAGGCCAATCCAGCAATATCTAAATTATATATCTCAACTGACGACTGGTTCAAGATTATCCGGTTAACTAGAAAGTCGGCATTCCCGTTCTTGATCAGCAAATCAGTGTAAAACCTCAGTACTTCAGTTCCTGCTCCAGGGTCATTGCGGGCAATTTCAACAGCTCCTTTCATGTTATCAACAATGCTTTCTTTCTCGGATAACAGCTTGTCAATTATCTCCGTAACACTTTCCTCAGTTACAGTTTCCCAGGTTAGAAGGAACCCAAGTTTATTTCTTTGTACCAGTCTACCATTTAAATACTGGTCCCCAAACAGTGGAATACAAAACAGTGGCACGTTATAGTAGATGGCCTCCATCCTACCGTTGTTACCGCAGTGAGAGATGAAGAAATCCAACTTCCCACTCCCCAGCAGATCTTTCTGTGGTATCCAGGCTCGCTGTATAAACTTATCAGCTGGGAGGTCGAACTTCACACTCAGATCCACCTTGCTTTTAATGATAACACACGCATCCATCTGAAGTAGTGTTTTAAGAATGGCTGGAGTACCGGAGAATATAGTTATGTCGGGAAGATAGGACCCGAAAGAGAAAAATACAGTGTGTTTGTAAGGACATTTCGCAAGGAACTCTAAGTAGTCCTCTGGAAGAGGGTTAAGAGGGCGTCCTTCTAAATTGAAGAATCCAAGATAGAAAGTGTTGGGTGGTGAGAGAAAGGGAAATGAGAAGGCAGGGTGGTCATTTACAAAAACAATATCGTAAGCTGCCAGAAAAGTATCTTCGACATTTATTTCGGGAGGTTCATTCATGAAAATGGGCTGGATAAGGGCCATGCAAGCTTTGAATAAGCGAACAATATTGGTCAGAGTGCGCCATCTTTCCCAGAAAGTAGGAGATGAATCTGTCACATCATTTGTCAGAGATGGCACGCTGTTGATTAAACCTGGGAGACCATACCTATTATTCATATCTCCAGCCCCAGCAATGCAGACTACGCCTATTGTAGGGATACGGATATCTCGGTGGAGTAACTGGGACATAGCTACCACAGTCATTCCATCTTCCATCACAATCAGCTCAAAGTTGCCATGGTCCAACAGCCCGGAAAACTGCTCCCCTTTGAAGTACTTAACCGCCGAAACGTGGTAATCGTCTACCCAAGCCTTCACTACATCGACAGTCACTTCAGCCTCTATAACCTCTACCATCATATCAACTGATGGTTTGTGCCTGAAGTGCGCAAAAACATCTCTAAACTGTTTCATAGAGGCATCAGCTTCAGTGTCATCTACCATCGGTATCAAATTGTAAGGTTTGTCGTCCATGCCGACTCTGTCATCACTAAACATAGCGAGGACTGTAACGTTGTGTCCAAACCCTGCTATCTTCTCAGCTATGTCAGTTGAGACGTAGAAATGAGAACCTCGCATTCCAGCTATTACTAGGACGTTAGCTGAGTGGCATGTGGAGAGGAAAAGGAGAAGGAGGAGAGGAACCATGATCTCCCTCATGAGTATCGCCAACCTACTGAGCACAAATAATAATTATGATGATTTAACATATTTAATTTGTTAAATTTAATATTTCCACAGAAGGACTAGAAATATCAGTGTATAACAAAACTGATGATTTTAATTTTCATGTTGTATCCCTTACATTTCCTCACAGTAACATCCCAACCGAGGTTTGCTACAACGTTTTTTCAAGTCAAGTTCTTAGATATGGTAATGTTTGCACTAGATTGGATATCTTTACCTCCCATCTTCACAAGATATTCAAAATTCTAATTGATAGAGGATATAGCCGTGATAGACTGATTAAAGGTATTAAACGTTGTCTGAGGAAATATAATAACGTTTTCAGGAAGTTCGGTATTCTAGATGACCATAACATTATTAAAGAACTCCCCTGATATCTTTTGATTTTATTGAAACACGGGTACTAACTCTGCTAAACTGAAAAAATTCTGAAACTTAGGTGAATAAGTGTACAACGTGCTAAACCGAAGTTCAGACTGACCAGTGAAAATGGGCGAGCGTACCAAGTGTCATTTTAATTAGATGTTTTAGTCAGTGATTTATTATTGAAGCTTGTAATTACAATAACTAATGCTCCTGTAAATACTTTAATTAATTGTTTGTTCCGTTAGTCTTTTTCCTTCCTCTTTTCCTTGTCATCCCCTTTAGTTTTAAGATTCTTGCTATAAATGGCTACAGCTAACACTATTAATGCTAAGTACCAAACAACAAGTGGGAGGTGGATCGTTGGTATACCGTTAAATCGATTTAACACCGCAATTCCAGTCGCAAGCCTGGGACCACTACTAGCATTGTCACAACATCTACAAAGCTGCCATATAGCCTGACTGACAATTTTCTCGACTGACTGACAATGTTTCTTCTTTTCCCCATTTAGAATACAAAGATTAGTACTTTTTAGCTTATGACTAATATTATATTTTTACCTATAGTTTACCTAGATTGTAGTCTCGAACAGCTGTTTAAATCTATACAAGCAGAAATATAATAATTGATGATATCTTTTAACAAATTACATGCCGAAAGTATTAAAAATGCAATACTAGAATATAAGCTGGCAACAAATTGTATACAAGCTTCTGATGCATAATGAGTCAAAATGTGAAACGGGAATAAACCTAACCGAAAAAATCCAAATTCTGGGTTTTCAGAAACGACTGATAGTACGACTATCATGTTTCATTTAATTAGATCAGTATGAAGAGCTGGATCAGACCGGGGTGACTTAGAGTTTTAACTCATATGCTGTCTCGTCTCATTTTACTTTTCCAAACCCAGCTGGCACTTAAGCGTATCATTTTGACTCATGTCACTTTTTACACCATCATCCACCATTCATTCTGATTTCACTGGCAACCTTCCCCAGGGTTGCCACACTCCAGGGGTAGGCAGAGCTTCTCAATGATATCCTTTCGTGGGCTAACTTGGCCTAGCCTCTCCTTTAAAAAATAAAATTTAAAAAATAAAGTCAAAATGTGAAACGGGAATAACCGAACCGAAAAAATGGTTTTAGGCGCTCTTATCTCAGGCCTTAAGTTGTTCAGTATATTTCGATCCAAATTGATGTCATGGGTTTTCAGAAACGACTGATAGTAGGACTATTATGTTTCATTTAATTAGATCAGTATGCAACTAAGTTTTGAGTCACCTTTGGAATGTATTTTTGGTTAAACTGAATGCTTAGGAGGGCAGTGTGACAATTACGGTACAAACATTCAAAACCAGTCGCAAGAACGTTTATCTGATAATGAACGAAGCAAACCAAGTTTAAACCTAAGGGAAAATTATTGTTGGTCATCGATAAAACTAACATAACAGGTAACCCGGAAAATAGTAAAATACAAAAAACCGGCACAAAAGAGTAGCATGTTTGCGGTGAATATTATATATTATTATATATATATTATTATATATATTATTATATATTATTATATATCATTATATATTATATATTATTATTACACATATTATTATATATATATATATTATTATTATATATTATTATATATTATTATATATTATTATATATTATTATATATTATTATATATTATTATATATTATTATATATTATTATATATTATTATATATTATTATATATTATTATATATTATTATATATTATTATATATTATTATATATTATTATACATTATTACATATTATTATATATTATTATGTATTATTATATATTATTATATCTATATTATATTTTAAACTTGACGAAATTTCCCCGGCAACGGGGACATAGAAGAAAAAACACCGAAAATCGACCTCAAAATGACCCTCTGGTGATGCCAAACCCAGCTCGCAAATGGAGTTGAAACCTTGCCATTTTTAGCAGGGTTGTAGAAAAAGGATAGGAATAGGCTATAGCATTCTTAGAATTTTGATTTAGGCTTTAGATTTTTTATGATTAACGTCGGAAGTGAGGTAAAATAACCGTTAGAATAATGTCGTTATTTTAGCAAAGGTTTACTGCGCTGTTGCGTAGCAACGTTAAAATGCACGTGCGCGAGCAACCACAGATTAAAAACGCGCGTTGTTATGCTGTATGCTACGTCATAATTTCAAAACTAGCTCACATTTACGCTCACGCTATGACTTATATTCATAACTTTGGTTGTGATTGGTATTTTTGATGCGGTAAAAAGTATCGTTTTGGGAATCCGAATACTAACAACGCTGTTGCCATTGTTAGATAAATTCCATTATGTCTACAGTATAACAGAGCTATATGATGAAGAGAAATTAAAACATAACTGATTTTTAAAATTTCCTCGAACAAAGCTTTCGACTAGCGGGTTTCTAGTATTATTATATATTATTATGTATTATTATATATTATTATGTATTATTATATATTATTATATATTATTATATATTATTATATATTATTATATATTATCATATATTATTATATATTATTATATATTATTATATATTATTATATATTATTATATATTATTATATATTATTATATATTATTATATATTATTATATATTATTATATATTATTATATATTATTATATATTATTATATATTATTATATATTATTATATATTATTATATATTATTATATATTATTATATATTGTTATATATTATTATATATTGTTATATATTATTATATATTATATATTATTATTATATATTATTATATATTATTATATATTATTATATATTATTATATATTATTATATATTATTATATATTATTATATATTATTATATATTATTATATATTATTATATATTATTATATATTATCATATATTATTATATATTATTATATATTATCATATATTATTATATATTATTATATATTATCATATATTATTATATATTATTATACATTATGATATATTATTATATATTATTATATATCATTATATATTATTATATATCATTATATATTATTATATATCATTATATATCATTATATATTATCATATATCATTATATATCATTATATATTATTATATATTATTATATATTATTATATATTATTATATATTATTATATATTATTATATGTTATTATATATTATTATATGTTATTATATATTATTATATATTATTATATATTATTATATATTATTATATTATTATATATTATTATATATTATTATGTATTATTATATATTATTATTATTATATATTATTATATATTATTATATATTATTATATATTATTATATTATTATATATTATTATATATCATTATATATCATTATATATCATTATATATCATTATATATCATTATATATCATTATATATCATTATATATTATTATATTATTATATATTATTATATAGTATTATATATTATTATATATTATTATATATTATTATATATTATTATATATTATTATATATTATTATATATTATTATATATTATTATATATTATTATATATTATTATATATTATTATATACTAGAAACCCGCCGCTAGTCGAAAGCTTTGTTCGAGGAAATTTTAAGCATCAGTTATGTTTTAATTTCTCTTCATCATATAGCCCCAAAACGATACTTTTTACCGCGTCAAAAAATTTCAATCACAACCAAAGTTATAAATATATATAGGTATATAGCGTCATGAGGGTAAATGTGAGCTAGTTGTGAAATTCTGACGTAGCATACAGCATAACACCGCGCGTTGAAATCCGCTGTAGTCGAAAATTTTATTAAAGGACACTATAAGGGAGCGAATTTATCGTTCGAATTTATCGGTCATCGCTAGTCAATGGTCAAACAATCCAACAAATATGCTTTAGTTCCCGAACCCTGCTTCACTGAAAATATATGAATTACACATTTGAATCATTTCGGTAAATGTCAGGTCCCTCATCGTCTCATTTGATAGATCTGTTCAAATTGAAGTTTTTACGTATGAAAGAACTGTGATAAATAAAAAAGGAAATTTGTGCTGAATGAAATTGGTAAAATGACATAATCTATCAAATGACTCAACACTTGGGACGTTGAGTGTAGATTTAACCTGAGTTACAAATGTGAATAAATGGATATAGGTTGGAAAAACGTTAGAATTATTATTATTATCGTTATATAAAAATATTATATAAAAATTGATTGTTATAAAAATAAATAGATAGGAAGAAGTCACTGTACCGGTTGGATTAAATGAAATGTGACGGACCTTTCTGATCATAGAGAGAGATATGGATGTATGATAGTATGATGCAAGTTCTGTAAATAGGGTTACGAACAAAATATAAATGTAAATTGTAAATAAATAAATCAAATCACATAAAAAATGAAACGCAATCAAAATATAATCATTACACGAAATATACAATGACAGAAGATAAAAGATAAGAGATAAAAGATAAAAGATAAAAGATAAAAGATAAAGAACAGAATGACATAATAAAATAATAAAATCATAAATAATAAATAAAATCACTTCCGCTGACTCCTTCTTTTACCCTTCCCGCTAAAATCAGGTTCATTAAGATAAATCTTGATAAAATCTTCGTTGTCTTTTTTGAAATCGTCGTAATTTTCTAAAGTCTCAAGGATGGTGGAGACTATTACCAATGACTGTTGTACAGTCTCACCATCCTTTGGGAAGTATAATTTCTCCTCTCCATCTGAATGTTGTAGAAGTCGTTTACTCACCGTCTTAAATTAGTAAATAGTCTTAAATATAGATATCTATATTATATTTATCTATATCATATAATAAAGTTCAATCACAAAGTTTATGAAATCATTTATGATACAAAAACTTACCAATAAAATAGGACATACACGCCTTTCCATCTATCACTTTCACTGTCATCGACATGTTGAGTAAAATATGTTAATCGTTGGAAGATATTTCAATCGCGAATGACAGTCAATTGAATTATTGCCAGGCAATTAAAATGGCACGTGATGTTTTTGTTGATTGTGTGTGCGCGGCGTAATGTCAGCATTGTGTGTAGCTCTAGCGAAGAAACCCGCTAGTCGAAAGCTTTGTTCGAGGAAATTTTAAAAATCAGTTATGTTTTAATTTCTCTTCATCATATAGCTCTGTTATACTGTAGACATAATGGAATTTATCTAACAATGGCAACAGCGTTGTTAGTATTCGGATTCCCAAAACGATACTTTTTACCGCATCAAAAAATACCAATCACAAACAAAGTTATAAGAAGTCATAGCGTGAGCGTAAATGTGAGCTAGTTTTGAAATTATGACGTAGCATACAGCATAAGTATAACAACGCGCGTTGTTAATCTGTGGTTGCTCGCGCACGTGCATTTTAACGTTGCTACGCAACAGCGCAGTAAACCTTTGCTAAAATAACGACATTATTCTAACGGTTATTTTACCTCACTTCCGACGTTAATTATAAAAAATCTAAAGCCTAAATCAAAATTCTAAGAATGCTATAGCCTATTCCTATCCTTTTTCTACAACCCTGCTAAAAATGGCGAGGTTTCAACTCCATTTGCGAGCTGGGTTTGGCATCACCAGAGGGTCATTTTGAGGTCGATTTTCGGTGTTTTTTCTTCTATGTCCCCGTTGCCGGGGAAATTTCGTCAAGTTTAAAATATAATATATATTATTATATATTATTATATATTATTATATATTATTATATATTATTATATATTATTATATATTATTATATATTATTATATATATTTTTTTATAGGCTGATGATATCACCTAATAGGAACAACATTGTAAGGCTAAGTAAGGTGACCGAGTGAATAACATTGGGTTACATATTTGTAGGGTCTGCATTTAATTTTTCTTAATAAAAAAACCCTATTTTATCGCTACATTATAACTGCCATTGTGCTGGTAGTGGTATAACTGTGTTTTTACTTTATAAAGTAAGTTTTTACTTTATAAATACAAGTACAAGTACAGGTACACGATGGAGGAAATGGATACTCTTCAAAGATTTTCAGGTTACTCTGCGTACATTACCGAAGAGCATGAGGTCTATACTCTATAACGGTTGGATCAGTGAACTCGCGGAAGTTATGAACTGTGACAATAAATCATAGTTTTCAGTTGAAACGTTCAAAAAGACAGTGAAGTCAGTTTTAGTAAAATATTTTGTATTCTGCGTATCAGACTACCAGTAATCATGTAAGTACGTTTCTGGATATCAAGAGAGATATGGAGGAGTTGGAGAGCGATCTTATCCGATCGCAAAGTACTGTTATCAAGCTGCAGGCTGAACTTCTAGAAATCAAATCGAAGCAGTTGGAATCCGTGCACTGCACCGTCAAGACCGCCGTTCAGGACACTGTTCAAGCTGGGATAATCACATCACACATACAGTCAAGCTGCACCTGTACTCACAAAAGAGAGTTTGAAAAAGGTTGTACACTGTACAGAGTGTTACTGTCGCCAAGATGTAACTAGGTCGAACGGAAAAATTAGGTCTCACGCAGAAATTATGTCTCAAGCAGGCTTTTAACTGTTTAAGTGTATTTATAAATATATGTATATCACGCGTGAGACCTAATTCCTGCGTGAGACCTAATTTCTCCGTTCGACCTAGTTACATCTTGGTGACAGTTATATCAGAAGAGGATCGAACTAAGAATAGCATTAGAAATTCAAAATGTGAAGCTGAAAAGAACATGAAAATTTGAAAATTCAATTAATTATTACATAATATATAAATCAAGCGTTACAATTACATTTCAGCCATGCAAAATTACAATGAAATAATTTGATATACTAATTGATAAATGATACTGCAATATAAGTTGCTTAATGTGTGGCCGAATGACAACTAACTAAGCAAGAAAAATAAACTTGATTATATAATAATTAATTCGGCTGAACCAACATATAGCAAGAGCCACGTTAACGTTGGGGAATGGGGCCGTCTAAAAAGACAAAAAGTTTCAGGCGCTCTCAGGCCTTCAGAGACGACGTACCTATCATGTTTCATTTGATTGGATCAGTATGAGACTAAGTTTTGAGTCACCTTTGCAACGTATATTTGGTTAAACTGAGTGATACGGAATACAGAATGACTGTAGGGAAAATTACATTACAAACATTCCAAACCAGCCACAAGAACGTACAGGGTGTTCCAAGACTCGTATCGTGTTCAAATTTGAAAATATAATTTTTGAAATAATTTGGAGCAAATTAGATGCAATCAGTTTAAAAATGCTTGATAGGTCTTACATTTGAGTTATTTTAAAATTTGTACACGATCAGCCTTGAAACACCCTGTAGGTATATCAAATAAACGAATTAAACCACAGAGCCAATTATTGGTTGTGATCGGTAAAACTAGTAAAAGGTAACCTGGAAAATAGTGAAATACAAAAACCAGCACAAAAGGGTAGCATGTTTGTGGTGATGTACAATCTTGTGGAATATCAATACAACACTAGGCTGATAATATCACCTAATAGAAACAATAGAAACAATATTGCAAGCCTAGGGACCCGACCACACTGTCCCTTTTTGCTCATCAAAAGGGTAGCATGTTTGCGATGATGTGAAATATGAATACGACACTAGGCTGATAAAATCATATTAACATAACACTAGGAACAACAATCAACATTGTTAGGCTAAGTGAGGTGACATAATGAATGAAATTAGGTTATAACCCAAACATGTACAGACACGTATATATATTTTTAGGGTTTGTATTTTTCTTAATTAATATTATTATTCGAGGTGCACAAAATAGTTCATAATGGGTTTCAGAACACATAAAAAATACTTTCTGGACTTCTGACAAGTGGATAATCCTCGCAGGATTTAGTGGCAACTTTTATTGCTGTGCGGCGTAAGTATGTCCTGAAGTTAATTATTAATTAATTAATTATTATAAATCCTCTCTGTTTCAGGTCACCCAAAAGGAGCTGCTCCCACCAGTATCAAACCAACATCACTCCTGGAAAGAGCTATCAACGATACTGAGGAGATATTTTCTCCTGTAGTTGACGATGGTACGTCTTTGTACGTGTATTTACGTGCCTATGGGTGTCGGTACGTGGCTGTACAGTGTACATGTTTGTACGACAGCGCTACGAGCACTTTATGCTGTAAAATTGTATAACACTAGGCTTCCAGTGCTTTATTCAAGACTACACAAATACTAATCTAGCTTTTGTTTGCAATCTTTATTTGTTAATAGACAAATAAAATAAATATAAATGAAATATATATATTAACATACCATGTCCAGTGTCCACGATGGTTTTATTTTCAGTTATCAGCTCGGTTTTTAACTGTTGAATATTCTATCAGTATTGATGAGCTAGATTTCTCTTCTTCCAGGATACGATATGATTGCGCAAGAGAACACGACCACCGAACAACCCCAAAGTAAACCACCCTCCTCTCCTTCCATTCCTGATCCTCCACACTCCACAACTAAAACCCTCCCTGAAGATGACGTGATGATGAAGCAGAAGTCAGAACCAGAAGCCAGTCTGGAGGAATCATCTTCTGATCTAGTTGCAGTGTTCAGTAACCACGAGGACTTCCTCTCAACCAAGATATCTGTTTCAGATGCACAGTCTAGTTCTACTTCTATGAGTAGGAAACCAACTGCTATGCAGTATTTCTACGGTTTCTCTGATGTGGTGAGTCATGAGATTTTTTCTTCTGTTAGAGAATTTAAGTCTTTATTTAAATATTTATCAAGCCCAAATCCGTTCAGATTTTCTTGCTCAACATAATTACATCACACTGACGACAGAAATAGTCATCTTGTACGATGTGGTTTATTTTATCGTCCTTGAAGAATCGTTTGATCAGAAATGTTAATTCCAGGTCTCTGAGGACAAAGTTTCTCAAAAGAGGCAGCAGTTCTTCGTGGCTCAAAAGAAGAAACAAGAAGAACTAAAAGCGCGGCGGGACCTGGAGCTGCAGAGGAAGCTGGAGAAGGACCGTCACCAGAGTCACATAGAGGGGGAGTTCCGGAGACACGAGGGTAATCTGGTGACCAAGTGTCCCAGAGCTAAGTCAAGTAGAGTCAGGGTGGTGAGGACTGAGGAGAAGTTACTTCCTGCTCAGGTGGGTTCTGGGTATATCATCATTCTGTTGATTGTTCTGCAACTAAACTGTGCGATGTTCCCTATTTTAATCAGAGGTTTTTAATGTCCTGCTTCTTTGCCTGTGGTTGTTATATTCTCAAGTGATACTAACATTCCAACCCACAGCGACCAGCGTCAGCAGCCCCAGGCAGGACCATGATGACGTGTAGGACCCCTCAAATGGACAAGACTCCTGAACAAAGTGCTCCAAGAGGCACCAGCTGTAGAGACGATATGCGTGGAAATAGAGATGGTACTAGAGACGATATGCGTGGTAATAGGGAGGGTACTAGGGGTCACATGTACCCTGACAAAAACCGGGTTAGAGATTCATTAGTTACACTGATTACTTAACTACTTGTACTACTTTCTGGCCTGAAGATGAACCGAACATGATGCTTAATAATCGTAAAGCTTTTAAGCTAAGAACCATGCAATCGCAATCATTGCCTTACGCACGAATAGTTTAAACAACAAAGTTATCATCATATTACTAACTTCTCCGTCACAGTTGATGGAAACTGGTGGAGGTGCAACATACCGCAAACACTCCTCTGAGAGTAGTCCAGATGGTAGGAGCAACACTAGAAACTGTCACCTCAGAGAGAAAATGAACAACACTCCCAGAAACTCTCCACAAAATAACACCAGAAACACTCCCAAAAACACTCCCCGTTAGTTTATAATGTCTGATAGCAACATTGCTTTGGTAAAATAACATTTGCCTTTGGAGTTTGGGTCCTCAATTACTGCTGTCGTTCATTTTTGTTCATTTCTGTTTAGATATGTTCAATTCTGTCCAATGCTTATGTGAAAATGTTCTTCAATTTCCTTCTTTACTTGCTTACACGGAAACACACAACATCTGACTCACAATATATTTCAGGACCGCCAGCACTGCCACTGTTCGTTCCACCTAGTGCTAAGAGCAACAGTAAAGTTATCAGTAACGCTGTGTGCTGGACCTGTCTGAGTGGTGTCCCTGATAAACCTCAACAGCAGCAGGCTCTCAAGGTTGAAATTATGTTATTAACTATTTAATTAAACATGTTATTATTAATAGTGTTATTAATTATGTTATTATTAATTGTGTTTTACTATAATACAACTTCTACTAGTACTATACAACTTTATGGTTTTAACAATTCTAATGTATTTATTGTTTATTGCGGAAACGTTTTTGAACATTATTTTTAGGAACAAAAGAACTACCTAATATTTTAAAACTATTAAGACCCATAACAAAGGTTCGCTGCTGACAATCCTGAGCATGCACTCTATTTCCACTTGATGTTCCAATATTGAATATGTTTTTAATCTACTAACACCTCTAATCTCTATTTTCACACAATGTATTGAATATGTTTTTAATCTACTAACACACAATCCCAGGCAATAGCAAACAACCCTGCTCAGCAGTATGTCATCCTCTTCAGAGACCACATAGCCAAGAAGTTCCGGGGCATCTACACTTACGATACTGAATCAGCCAAGGTTTGTTGTTGTATGTACTTTACTTTAATACTTAGTACTTACTACGTTTAAATTTTATTTCATTCTTACTACTTTCTATTTTACTTATTACTTTCTATTTTACTTTAATACTACTACTTTCTATTTTACTTTAATACTACTACTACTTACTACTTTATTACACACTTTGCTTACATCCAAGTTTGTTAGGTAATACATAATTTTTTTAAATGTATACATACATTAATAATTCTCCTGTCGTTCTTTTTCATTTTATAACGATAAAAACCTCAATTTCAGCTGATAAAGATTTACGGGAAAGGCCCAAAGACCATCATTCAGCAGATGCTATCTTACCTATACAAGTCAGTACAAATAGATGCAGTAATTGGCTTAGAGGAGAAATCCGTTAAATAACCGAATAAAAATAGATTGTGAAAAACACCTCTCTAACCCCTCCAACCCCTCTCCAACCCCTTCGACCCCTCTCTAACCCATCCAACCCCTCTCTAACCCTCTCTAACCCCTCCGACCCCTATCTAACCCATCCAACCCCTCTCTAATCCCTCCGACCCCTCTCTCAGGTACGACTCAGGCTCCAGATCCTTCTCCGATCTCCCCACCCTGTCATTCTCACTATCTGTCGACGGCATTACTATCAGGAACGAACTGTGGAGGAAAGCTGGTGTTTACCCTTGCTGAATTCCTAGGGTAACTTAGCAACCTGGGGTAACTTAGCAACCTGGGGTAACTTAGCAACCTGGGGTTACTTAGACTCGATATTAATCAGCCTGGGTGTGGCAACTTTATTTAATTCCTCAGCTTTATCCTAATCGAGGGGAGGCTTACCCTTAGTGTCATGTTTATTGTTTAAAGTTATGGGACGCAATTTTGACCTCTGGCAAGCCTACATATCTCTACCACACCATGAAGTGAGATAGCTAATAATCTACTTTTCACATAAGTTCTGGGGAACCGAATTTGGTAGTAAAATACAGGGCGACAAACGGACTATATTCATAAATTACTAGTGATATGAATAAAGTTATTGTGTTTGTTACTACTATACTGTTGCGTTGTCAGTAAAAACTGTAAACTGGGTATGAGCTATGAGATGGAATGTACTTCAGTTAGGACACTAGGAATTATGATATCGAGTATTAGAGGCGGCCGATTGTTTATGTTGCAGATAAACAATGATTTGATGGCAGTGAGGAAAAACTTTGATCTATGTATAATATTCAAAACATAATTTGAAAATGACAGCATGATATTTGATACAGTGATTTGAACTTATTCTTAAAAGTTATAATGTTCGATATAATTATAGTTGAAGTGTATATAAGTTGTAAATATGCATGTTTCTACGTTTTTGAAGTTATCATACCACATGGTCAAGTTACTATTTTTCATTTTAATATCTTGGGTCTTTCTTCTATTTAATATACAAATTGGATTTTGGTGTCTATTGAATGAGAGATTGTCATCAGTAATACCTATAGTATGAAATCAACAAAATTATTTCCAATTCTCAAAATCATAATACAGCATGTTAGTGTTACCGGTTAAATTACGAAAGTGCAGTTTTTTCAAAAGGATCTATAATTTGGCCTCACTTATACATTATACAACGTGTAGCAAAGCTAAATGTGTGACGTGATAATCTTAAACATTATATCGAACTTGTTCAAATATGTTGAGTTGTGTTCAACTCGGCACACGTTGGTTTATAAAGAAGCACTTATCTATTTTTGAATATTTATTTATCATCATGCGTTGAATTTGAATTGAATGTCGAAGAAAACACTCTGAATATAAGTTTCAATATATAAAACAAATGTTGTCTTCGATCAAACTCGGTAGAATTTCAAAAACTTATCGTCCGGCATCTGTTGACAGTCTTCCAGCGAAGGCTTGAGGAGGTCTCAAATGCCGAAGGTCGAATTGTTGCTTATTGTTGGATTTGAGAGCGACCTGTGCTTGAAACCAGCTCAACCATCAACTACGTCAAACTCAATATTCAAATATATAGCAGTAGCACAACGTATTATAGTTATTACAAAAATACTTGTCTCAAACGCCAATTAACAACTTTCAAACTCAGGGACTGTTAAATATGCTAAATAATACGTTAATAACACATAAAAACACAGCACACTAGCTGCAGTGCCTGAAGCTGAAATACACATAAACACAAAATGTATACAGCTGGCTTTACAATGTGAAGAATCATCGGACTACGCACTGTTATAGACTATGTCATTTAATTATGTTCACAAACCATGCTATTGCTACTTGGTGGATGCCTGCAACAAATTCGATTCAGTTCAGGTTCTTCAAAAGTTACCAGTTCGGCCGTTTCCTAAGTTCATTTTATCCAGTTTAGGTTGTCATTACTAATATCTTTACAGTTCGGTCTCAGTTTCATTACTCGTATTCGCTATCACCCTAGAAGCACTGCTTGCTCTATTTGGGAGGATTCCAACAATCCACAACCTCATTTCCCTCATCCTCCAAACATAGAGCAGTGGGTTTAGAGAAGCGTTTAAGACCGTACAGAAGATTTCACTTAGAAGCCAGCTGTAGCAGGACATAACATAGTTATCGTATATTGGACCCGGATATATCTTGAACAGGAGGGTATAAGTTAGGAGAAAGCAGTTGATGAAAGTGAAGCAATTGCAGCAGAGGAAGAGGGCTGTAAAGTAAGTAATGGTGATTGAAGCATGTTGATTTTTCCTTTGGGAAACATTGTTTGCGACAGGATCTTTCCGGAGCATAACAATCGAGACAAGAAACGTCAGAAACACGATCATTGGAGGTATTCCCAAACAAGCGCTGTAGTTAAACATGTAGCAGATTAACAGCGGTAAAGATTCTGGGGGTATTGGAGATACGTCACAATGTGACGTAGCGTAGTTGTAAGCCATTTCGGGATAGACAAAAAGTAGAGAGTTGCAAATACAATGGTAAAGGAGGTAAACAGCGATGGACACAAGAACTGCTCTTTTGTTGATTTTGTAGAAAGGGTACTTTATGGCAATCGCTCGTGATAACGACAGTGTCATAACCACGAATATGGACATTAGTTGAAGCAGCAGGAGGACAGAATTCCAAATGGAGTTGACAACAGAGTTGCTGAGAAACCCAGCAGTTCGGTTGTTCAGCAGACTAAAAGCAACTGGAAGGTGAATGACGGAGGAACCTATATCGATAGAACATGCCACTATGTAAAGAAGAGTTGAAAGATTTCGTTTCTTTGTGTGGAGGAAATATTTCAAAGCTAGACAGTTTCCCGGTAGTCCGATCACAAAGCAGACAAAGAGCCCGCACGCTATCAAGCCATCATAAATTCTGTTATGAGTTTTCAAGGTCAAAGTGTCATTCATCCTCAAACTTATAATCAGCGTAGCTTGAATCAATATAAGGGCAGTTTTTCGGACTACTTTATCACAAACGTATGTTAAGACCTCTAACTCTAATTACTGAGTAAAGCGTACGTTAAGTATTTAAAACTGTGGCTCACTGGCCCACGTTTACGTTTATTTATTTATAACCTAAGACACCGGTGGTAAAATAATTGAAAAGGGAACAACTCATACTCATAGTCATAAGCCGAGGCAGGGTGCGCTAATAGACCGCGTGTTTAACTTTAAGATCTGTAGTGTACATGTTGGGCACAGAAAAAGTGTGCAGGTGATCTGACATCAAATTCAAATGAAACGTTGCAATATATCATTTGTTATGTCACTTGTCATTGTTGTATAATTTAACGTTATTACTTTATTAGAGAACGTTTAACAAATTATGTAGAGTAATTGAGGTACTGTCTATAATAATAAATGGTTTCCAGGAAGTCAAATATGCATCCTCCAAATGTTGCCTAGATCTGCCCGATTATGTAGTCTGTACCTAAAAGTGCCCAGTATATACACTGGCACTGCGATAGATAACTTAGTGGCATTTACTTTTATATTATTGATGATTGATAATACTCCATTGATTTTATCGGTGTTGCCATAGTATTAGTAATGGCATTTCTTTCCTTAATGCAGGTATAGGTATAATTATAATTCGCTTCCTTATTCTCGTTATCTATAACTATAAGTATAGAATCCAAAATTGCACAAAATCTTGCGGTTTACAAATTAAATAGTCAAAAGCAAGTTTTAAAAATATATAACATTAATCACTACCGAATAAAAGTATTTTCCCCTTTTGAAAAAGTCTACTGAGCTGAGTAATTAGTACTAGTATAGTTGACGGATGTTACTCGTCTAAATTTCTTCGAAGTAGCGCGCGCCGCTTTCTTCTCGAAGCTTCACGAGCCACGAAGTAGCACGCGCCGGGCCAGATCATTAACAATGGTCAATAGTATAGTAGTACCTCATTGCTCATGTCCTTCCGGAGCTCTCCTGACAGTGACATAGGGGCATGTAATGTTGAAACCAACTTCAATGGATGGATTTTCGGACGCTGATTCCGAATCACCCCCTGATGAGATATTGGCGAAAACAGTCTCGATCACGTGATATGACGGTATATGGAAAGTAGTATAATTTCTCGTTAGGGTTAGGGTTTCAGCATATCCTTTTGTTAAGAATTGGGTTAGGCTTGCTCTAACCAGAGCCCTCTCGCTTGCAGTCTAGTAGCGCGCGACCGCCTACTTGTGAAACAAGCGCGTCACGCAGTACGCGTAGGCACATGGCTATGTGAAGGGTTAGGCCTTAGAGTTAGGGTTAGGGTTGAGATCAGATTAGAGGGTTAGGGTTTCGAGAAGTCGTTCAGGACCAGCTAGAGAACGGGTTGAATAAGTCACGTGACAGTCGAGTGTAGAGTGATTAATCATCATCCACTTTAATCAGAGGAAGAACTGCCAAGAGCAAAAACGCACTTCACCTAGGATTCCGGTATTCAGAAGACGGAAAGCTAAGGAAAGATGATTCACAGTCTTGGAGATGTGTTAAATTTATCAACTGACACATGCCAACTGCCAAGTTATCAATATTAATCAAAAATAGAAAAATATCAATGAAAAATAAAAAATAATAATATTTCACGCCGTACACTTACAGTCCTGTTAGTGTTTTATTCACGCCGTAGATTTTGTCACGCCTTAGCACGTAGACCCAGCAAACCCTACCAGCTGGGGTATATCTCCAAAAATAAAATAAATAGAACCTCCTTGATACATATATACATGTTTCGTATCCCAATATCAAAGATAATATGGATACACCAGGAAGGAACACCTCTGCGCGGCGTAAGTAAATTTACAAGTTCGCGCGAAAAATTGTCTTATTTTCCTGGCGCTTTGTTCTCGCGCCGGGAGTGAATCACTAATTAGTTAAATACTTAACTAGCATAATCTACAATCTAGATCTATAATACGAAGCAAGAGTTACCACGTTACTCTTCTATTTCTCCGTTAAGCCTACAATTCTAATAACTAACAATTGAGTATGAGGTCAATTAAATGTCCATAGATATGGATTATAAAATTATATAAAGTAAACACATAATTGAACAGCATGAGACAAGTGGAAGACACACAAACGAATAGATTACAAGCTCTTTAAGGATCGTTGCTTGATTACTTGATATTGGAGATTTCAAAACTGTAGTCCGACAGTCAAAGTTCTTTTGTCTAACTTTAGTGCGTGTCGAACTTAAGTCCAGATAGAGCACTTTAGTTCGACAGACTCAGAGTCGAACGTCAGGGTTTGTCGAACTACAGTAAGTGACGAACTAGAGTGCGAGTCGAACTTGAGTACGTGTACCGAATTTACCATGGTAAAAACATCTTCACACCGTAAAATGTGCAAAAGCTACAAACGGTTCCTTCAGCATTGTTTACAGCGGGCAATATCCTTTATTTCATTCAATTCTTCTGAAGTGTTCATGACCAAATTACGGTCTTTAGGATCGTCCATTAATAATTTAAGGAGGCTTTTGCCGGGACAACCTGTACGCCCTTTTAATTTTGACAGGGCAGGTCAGAAGTAGATGGTTCTAAAACAAAATATAAATAAATCTAATCCCTTTAAAATAAATATGCTACCATCTAGCTTACTCATAGAACACAACTCGGAATAGTAGGTGGCCTTAACATCCAACTTAGGCAGAACATAGCTTAACGACAAAACATCTGATACTACAACTTCAGAAACCTTCTCTATAGCCTCTTTTTTAATAACAGAACAATAGTCAGCTAACATGGCAATTAGAATGTTATGGGGGTGTGCAAAATAAGAATTATTTCGTTAAACTTCTAAACAAATTTCCCTGTCAACTTTACCCTAAACGTGTTTCCTGACCACTGTTACTTCCTCAAACAAGTTAACTGCACCATTAACAACTAAGCTTTTATACTTGATATTCAAATCAAGCGGTAAGTAAATATTGAAGATGTAACTAACGAATTGGTCCTCTCAGCCACGCAAGGTGGATTACAATGCAGTCGAGTTATAACTCGACTGCATTGTAATCCACCTTGCGTGGCTGAGAGGACCAATTCGTTCTCTCGACAGTTCAGGACTCAGAACCCCTTAAATTTTTAATGGCAGGTCTATCCTGTGAAGGCACCAAATAAATCTTTGCGATTCCCGTCCAAAATTTTTCTCAAAGAGGGCTATAATCCCATTGTGACGTCCGGTGTTGACTTAAGTGGCGTAACAGCCACAAGATCTTAGTGGCGAGTAGTCGAATGTCGATCCTAAGCTCATCACAATGCTGCATATTTTCTCCCGTCAAAGTATAGCGACTCCACTTCCAGATTCCGAAGGTCTTCTAACTCATTCTCTTTAGATCGGTGCACTATCTTTGGATTTCTTCAGTCTCCTGAAATATATTATGTCACAATAGATCATTAGATGATACGTAAAGATACTGTACAGGCAATCCATGATTGTTGATTTGTTTGCGTACCCAAAAATATTTCTTTTATATGAATAGCTTATAAAAAACCCAACATTAGGATGTATTTGAAAAGTAACTTAAAACGACATGCAGGGCGACCGATAACGCCTGAATCAATGCTTGGTAGCACAAACCGGAGGTTAAAAATGAATACTGACCACATGTGGTTGTTGCATGGGTCACTTGCAAGTTCATATATCACATACTCGGTTTTACATTTCCTATCAGAGCGACCTCCAATCTCCATAGATGATCAAACGCATGGCCCGATCATATCGACGAGAATTTTTAATCGATTTTCGGCATTTCAACTTTCAACTCCCATATCCCAGATATGACTTAACATATGTGGGATGACTTGCGTGCTATTGTGTCTTATTGTGATAGCGTGATTGAAAACAGCTCGATATTATTTAATCCCACCAAACATGCATATCGCATACTATCGAAGATCCCCTGCACTTTAATCATTCCCGGATGAGCCTCTAGTGGCGGCGAAAAGTGGCATGCAACGTATGTCAAGAACCTCTCGGTTTTCAACAAAATTTCCGTCTCGTAAATTTAAAGTTAGCTCCCCAGGAGCCAAATTTGGGACAACTTAAATTCTGAATTAACCCGAAAAGTTTGATTTCGGGCTAAATAAAAGATCGTAGCTTTTAAACTTTGCAAAGTAATGTCGTTACTTCATGACTACTTGTCATACGTTGTATCATGTACATGACCCGCCGCGCACGAAGTGCGCGGCTCCCCCTGTATCGTCGAAGACGACCGTGGGGGTCACCACGTGATACAAATGACTACTAGGCTAAATGCAGCGTGCGAAAGCTGGTGAACTTGATGTGATGCGCGAGGACAAACGTCCTGTGGAAAAATCTATCACCTCTAGCATAGCCCGGCAGGTGGTAAGTGGTAAGGTTTTCTGGGGAGTCCTGTTTTGTACCAATACACATTACACAATACCATGTACGCCGTACGGCGCCGCCGTAGAGTCTTACACCGTAGAGTCCCGGACCCGCTATATCACTATCACACTAACAGCTCATCCCGAGTCTACGTGAATACGTCCACTTAACTGGTACGGTTAGCAGCTCTATTTTCAACAGCCGACTTGATACGTTTCAAAAGTTCAGTAAACTGGCTGATTCGTTACAAACTGATCATTGACTTGGCCATTTGACTTAATATAATTATAATGCCACGTTATGTGGTTACACACGCTCACGTCACGATCCTCATTTCATGGCATTATCTCGTGACATTTGCCACGAAATGGCCACAGTGCACAGCGTGGAGCATTATCTGATCGATCGACGCGAATCATATCGCTGCGCGCGCTCAGATACAAGCTAGCGCGCCATGGTTTTCACTAATATTTGATTCGCCGCGTACGTTTAGTGAATATATTTTTAGTACAATGACTAAACGATGTGCTGGCACGCCTGAATCCCGATACTGTTCATATTATGTCCATCCCGTGTATAAAACCGTCAGTTTCTCACAACAAGTTTATCATAGTCCTTGAAGATTAGTCGCGGGCATTGTGATCCAGTTTAAACAAGATGAGATGTGATCAATGATCGGCTGTGTTGGGCCAACCTACAAATAAAATGACACGTACAGCCACGATCATGCGCCAGCACTCAGCTGCTCCCAGTTTCTAGCATTCGAAAAGTTTTTAATTTTAAAACGAGAATCCGGTTCTGTTTACATCCGTATATCTAAGTACAGCGTTGACAAGTTGCAGAACTTGGCGCTCAACCAAAACATCTACTTTCTAATTCGCCCAAAATACCACATCCTCAGAACGTTTAGAACTTTAAACAATTCCATATAAGTAACTTCTATTGAGATTATATGAAAACTGTGAACAGCTTAAGCCACTCTGGATGTTGGATGACGTATTTGATAAATTTTGTTATTTTAGCAAAGTTCATATTGCTGTCATGTATTCCACAACAACATTTGAACTGATGAACCCCAAAAGTTATAGTGTATGATTCAAATAAAAGAGCACTCTACCATTGAGGTTAATTCTACCATTTTTACTCCTTCTCCACAGTTACACTCCATATTACACACACGGAAACAAGGTCACTGCAAACCACGTGACAGTATTGCGGTATGTGCCACGTGATCACCACACGGACTCATGATTGGACGGAATCCCTCCGCATACTCCCTCAATATTTATAATGTGTTCTACACTTTACGGAGATGTGTTAAGTAAACACAATGCGTGAGTATTTAATTTCCTTTCCGCGAACTACGCGATTTTACTGTAAGTGCATTTTCCAAGTTGTGGGATTTTTATTTTCAATGGGCTGCATTATGTATTATTAATTATATATTACAAAGGAAATTTTTTATGAATTCTGCCCTGATTTAAAAAATTGTTTACTGTTTTATTTAATTTATTGTATTATTAAGGGTGTCTAACCTTGTAGCTGGACAACGACCATTGCCGAAATTATCCGTGTATATTGTTTGAAATTTGAATAATACCCAAATCTACTGCAATAATATGGTGATCTAATTGCTGTACGTGATAAAGGTGAGATTCGAAGATATGTTTGATTTTGTTGCACACAATTTGTCGCACATAATGAAATTGGGCTAATTTTGTTACTCGATCTTAGACTTGATCATGAAATTATTGTTCGGATCATCAGATGTGAAGCGACAAAATTTCTCATAATACAAACATCTTTCAAGCGACAATGAAACATCTCGAACATTCGAACAAGCACAATAATATTCACACACAATAAATTATAACATTTATTACACATACTTCCACGTTACACACTCCTAACCATCTCAGTACATGTACATTGTACAATCCATTAAATTACAAAAACTGTGTATCTTATGAAAAAGGAAGCTAGGCGCTAGCCTATGACCGTACGTCGGGCACAGTGCACTAATTGTCCTCAATTAGTACGGCTCTCTGATTGGTGGGAAATGATCACGTGACTCCGATCCCGCTCTCTTGGTGGTCAGTATCGGTCACGTGATAGAAACAGTAATCGATGATTGGTGGATTAAAACGTCAGAATTAATACTTTGATCTCGTTAGCTGGTCAAGTTGATCCATTTCAGATATTGATGTAAATTTTGCGTTAGGAAAAGCAGAAATGATCTTTCTGTGGAAGCGGTAAGTATGATGGGGGAAGCAGCTTTTAAATTCTAATATTAGAAAAATTGCCATTAATCCAGTTATGCCAACAATTTTTCGAATTTAGGAAATATTTTGAACACTGATGAAGACTCAGTAAATACTATTCTTTATAATAGGACAAGGAATTTAAAAATAAAATAAATACACTTATTAATAAGTAGCATAATATGGGCACACACGCTTACAAACATCGTGAATATTCCTTCGAAATTGTAAAACCGCAAAAATACGAGCGTCTACATTCTAACTCTAGCCACGAATTCAATTCAAAACATTTTAAAATTGCATTCGAAATTATAATATGCTAATAATAATAATATATACAATGTAGTTTTAATATTTTCAACAACTTATTCATTCCTTGGCGAATGTGTACGATTATTAATGTGTCCCAGAGCAATATGACATGCACAGCTGGTAGATGCTTATAAAAACACTCACTTTTTAATGTAAGTTAGGGTTGGGAAACTGGACTAGCTACAAAATGAACCTTGTTAATTGAAATCATAGGGAAATATTGTGACAGTAAGGCCTTTACATCTCGTTAAATATGTACAAAGTTAGGACATGTTAATTAAAACAAATAGCACATCTGAACTCTAAACGATATTGGTCACATTATAATGCGCCTTGGATTCTACATATCTGAAAAAAGGCAGTCTCTCCCTTACTGATATTCAGCTGACGTTCTAACTTATCCCTAGATATGTTGCTAAAGGAAGCGTCACACAAACTTGTGAGTCGCCTCACAAACTGTAACAAACTGTAACACACTGTAACACAGTGCAACACAGTGTAACATAGTTTAACACAATGTAACACAATGTAACACAATGTAACATAATGCAACACAATGTAACACAGTGTAACACAATGTTACACAGTGTAACATAGTGTAGCACAATGTAACAAACTGTAACAAACTGTAACACAATGTAACACAATGTAACACAGTGTAACACAGTGTAACACAGTGTAACACAGTGTAACACACTGTCCCTCATTTCCCCATCCTCGTCACACTACTTAATCCTCCTTATCGTCCTGAACATAGTCGTCCAGCTGGTCAGCAACATCCTCAACTCTGTCCACAACTTCATCTATCATACCCTGCTTCTGCTTCAGGAACGGCCTGAACAATAAACAGGTTAACACCAGGAATGTAGTTATGAAGTGACACTCACTTTACACTCAGAGTGTGTATTAGCTACGTTCTTGTTCCGGAATTTCATCTTGTCGCATCTCAACCGGAGAGTGACTAATATTGTTTTAGAAAATAGGAATGCCCTCTATACTCCATTTTAACTAGTTAATGCCCTCTAGATATTTAGTCAATCAGATTTAATCAGAATATTATAGTATTTGTGTGATAGATTGTTTGTCAAACGGTAAAATAATCAGTTACTTACCAAAGTTCAAAGAGAAACGAATTAATACTGTCAACATGCGACTAATATTACAAATAAAATCATTAAACAGTTTGTCTAAAAATAGAAAATATTAAAGAAATATATGTGTGAGTCTTGTCAGAACATGTCACCTCTAAGAAGTGATTATTAACGAATATACAAATAAAGAAACGAACAGTGCAGAACCAGGTAGAACAAGTTCTCCTCTCGGTAAAATTGTAAAATTGTAAACTGTTTGTTTGTCAGAGGATAGTCAGTTCAATCTCACCAGCTAGTGTTACACTGTTACCATGGTAACATCTTCTAAACCAGCTAGATTACACCACACATCTTACTAAGTTATTACAGTCGTGAAGAAAAGTCTTTTAAACTTTCAAGTTTAGAGAGTTTACATTTCGAAAAGTCAGTGTTAAGTCTGTAAAGTTAGTCTAACGAGGATCCTCCTCTGAATCACAACATTACTCCTGAACTTGTTCAGGCTGGACGCTCCTCATTAAGTCCTCTATCATTTCCCCTGGTGTCACCACATCATCATTGGGTGTTACCATGTTATTACCAGGTGTTACCATGTTATCACCCGGTGTTACCATGGAAACATCCTCCTCTAAACCCATATTATCAAACTCTCCAAAACCCCCTAGTTGAACTTGACCAGGAGACCCGGGAGATCCAGGTGAGCTGGGCTCTGAGTCCTCCTCAGCAGATAGAGCCCCAGCAGGTTCAATGTAAGTCTCAGTAGCCGCGTCCCCAGCAGGTTCAATGTGAGTCTCAGTAGCTAACATGCCCAACATGAGACCTTGTCGTAACCCACTCTTCACCGACGGAGGGGAAGGGGTTATTGTGTCTGTAACGTAGGTCTGTATGTTTGTTTGTATTTCGTCAACTGCTTGTAGTGTTGCGTCTACTATCTCACAGTTCTCTCTCATCATACCCCTGTAATATAGGCTAGTAACAGTTTCGCTCTTAATTTCAATATGCCACATTGTGGCAGTCTATCTTAATATCTCTAATTAACACGAGACAGAACATACACACTCGAACTCAGTCACCACAATGAAAACACTCATTATACTCATGATACTCGTCTCACTGTACTGCTTTGTATCCACACTTCTGTTTCACAACTTACCTACAACAATTGATTGAGTAACGGTCCTAGCCGGGGTTCACACGTGCCTTATATAATAACACGTGCGTTATTATTCTATACACGATGGACACAATATTAAACACGTGATATAAAGCGTTGATCTACAGGAGGTTCTTATTTCATCAAGCAGAGAATGTATCAACTTGTGTACTATCACATATCTTGACATTGCGCTTAATCTTATTTATACCTCTGGTTCAAGTTGTAACTTGTAGGAATAATCTCCACAAACAGACAAAGACTTCCTCCACTATGAGAAAGTCTAGTACTTACTCTGAGGAAGAAAGAGAAGATTCCAGGGCAGGTATGTAGCTCCATAACTACGTGTTGTAATAACAGTGATACAATGTAGCACAGGCCCGGCTAGCATTATGTATCAGGTGTGGTGAGCAGGTCCCTAGTAGAACTGTGTAGAGACACACAGTGGTGAGTAGTAGTCACTGAGAAGCGTCATAGCTACACACAGCCTGGATAATTTCCAGTACTTGTTTAAACTTGTGACCTGCTTCATTATGTTGTAGCTAGACTGGACCATATTAAAGCTAGACCTGGACTATGGTTCTCAGACTCAGGAACGGGGTTTTGCATCGTTTTCTTTGTTCTGCGCGCGTAAACTTATAGGTTTTAATAATCGTAATTTCTTTAAACTACAGTTCCGATCGCTACCATAAATCAGCGCTACTCCAGTTGTTCAGTTGTGTCTTTTAAAACTGAATATACAAAGCTGCACGGCTGACAGGTGGTATAGGAGGCCCGAGGAGGGTCCACCCTGGTCATGTGACTGGTCCACCCCTCACATACACTACTCAATAAGTAACACCCAGTTTGGAGAATTGATGCAATACATTTGTTTAAAAGTGAGTGATGTAATACAGATAAATACACTGTAAGGTAAATACTTCCGTCATATTACGTCACACAGTAGTTTAATGTTACATAATATAATTTCAGTAATTAGTTACTTCATTAATTAATTTAGTAAATGTAAAATATAATCGCTTTGTTAGTTCTGATTGGATGGAGCCTATTCCAAAAACTTTTAATGGAATATCAAATAATATAGTGTGATGTACCGTTTACTGTTCACATAAATTCAGCAGTAACAGCTAAACACCAATAATCAGGGTTAAAAGTTAAAGTAGTCTTCACAAATCACAACTGGTTATGGGAGTGCATGGACAAATGTTGAGAAGTTGAAGCATCAACAGTTCTACAATCCCCGCCAATCCCGAACCTGTTGGATCTCTTAAATGTCCACATCCTAAACTGGGGCATCCTGAAGAAGTATAGGCAGGGGTTGATGGAAGCATTAAGGACTGTTAGGAAGATTCCAGCCAGCAACCAGTCGTACCAGTACACAAATGATTCTGGGAGAAAAGCAGCCGCGTCGACATCAATGTTGAACCATCTTTTGAAGGAAGCGATGACGTAGAGAGCGAAAACAGGGATGTTACAGATAAGGAAGACAGCAGTAAAGAGCGCTATTGTAACGGATATCTTCCAGAACAACTTATCATCTTCACTGCCCAGCACTGTTTTCTTCATCAGACTCTTACAGCTGATTATAAGACTGAAAAACACTGTCAGAGGGCACACCAGGGCCGTGAGCAGGTGTATGATCATGTATAATGTCCACTCCCAGTCCGCCATCAAGGATATGGGCGAGCAGTAAACAGTGGAGTTGAAGTAGATGTTAAAGATCTTGCCCATAGCGAACAGTGTGATATAAGTAACAGAGAGAAGGACTCCGTACACCAGCAGCACTATCTTGATGAGAGGCTCCTTGACAGTGTGGAAGGGAACGGAGATTGCTACTGTCCTGGTCACACTAATCACCATCACTACAAACATGGAGTATCGTTGGAGGAAGGTAAAGAGCAGAGCGAAGGCGGAGCAGAAGGAGTAGTCGCTGAAAAACATAGCGTCTCGGTCGTGTAGGAGGGACACGATGACGGGGAGAGCTAGAGTACTGATCAGGGTGTCCACCATACTGTTTACAGCATATAAATAGTCCGGGAAGTTCTCTCTCCTCCGACCCCAGAAGTATAAAGTAGCCGCGATGTTGCCGAATAGTCCCATTACCATGAAGATAATGAGCATTCCTCCCATAGCCTTGTCGGCAGTTGAACTGTAGAAGTGGCCCAACTCATCCTCTGTCTCATAGAACACGTGCGGTAGATTCTCATCTGACATCTTGGAGATCACTGGGAAAAGAAAACGGTCGTGAAATAAGAATTAAAATAAGGTTACACAGTGGATGGAAACTTTTGAAGAGACCTTATAGTGCGTTATCAAAACTGAAGTGGCAAGATGGGCGTGCCTAGCTATAACAGATGTCTAGACTTCTAGACTCACTAAAACTAATCGAGAAGTATGTATCAGAAACAGAAAAGGAGAGAAGTGTGTCTCAAAAATTTGGTTGTTTCACAGCTGATGAATACAGAAACTTTTGAACAGACCGACTGCTAACAATAAATCGTAAAACAATACCTAGTCAACCCAACTGTCACAAATAGTTGTAAATTGAAGCGTCTAAGTAAGAGTTGTTATAACGACAACGAGACCAAGATAAAAACCTATAAAATAGAAGCGGCTGAAGTAAAAGGAAAAGTTGAAGCACGCCCGATGGCCGGCAATGAGGGGAATTTAAACACTTCGCAATACATCAGTACACAGCTGTAGCAGAGTCCCAAATGATATGGCTAAACTTTCATTAAGAATGGAATTTGAATCACAACGAGCAAAACTTTAAAACAGTTAATGAACCAAAGCTTCTCCGAGTCCTTAATTCCACTCGACAGAATAAGCAAGAATTCAACAAGGCGGAAAACGCATAAAAAGCAAAATACCTGGAGCATTTGGTAAAATAGCTGGAGCGCGTATAATTGAAGGAGCTGTTAAGGCTTGTTAATGCCTTAGAGCCAGTTGGAGGAGAGCTCTGAACGCGGGGACCGGCCATCTTCACCCCACGTGGCAGAGAGTTGCATGACAGCAGTTGCTGGGTGACGGCAATATCTCAAAGTACTTGTCAGGGCACCATTAGTGCGAGTAGGCACTTAATTTTAATAATTTGGAGATAGCGGGGATGCTGGTTTTGTTCGCTATTTTGAAGAAGTAATGCAATTGGGGAAAACGAGTCACTGATTTGATGTGCGCTATATTATTATCCCCCTGACAAGCAATGATCGAGGTAAATGTGCGAGGTATGTGTGGGCTGGTCAAGTTGACAGGGTTGTGAGCTCTCTGAGCAGCTATTTATATGGCGGGTTCCTTGTCCGTGTGGACAACTTAATTGTTCGCCGGAAAACTACTAGTGAAATTATTTTAATGACAAGTGACTTGTTTGGATAGAGTATTGGTGGAGAGGGTAGCATTACGGAGCTACCAAACAGCTAGCTTCCTTCACGGGTACTGTCGGAGCAGGGCACGCCTCGTCATCGCCTCAAAATACACCCTGGTTCAGTTTTACGTCAGAGAGTTTTGGCCCGGCTAAATGTTTTCCGACATACGCTGCATTTAAGAGGGTTAACTGCAGAATGCAGCTGTCAAAAATAGGATATTTACGAGATGGTA